TTATACGTCCCAGTAATAGCCCCTTCTCTAGTCCAGTACTCTTGGTTAAGAAGAAAGATGGTAGTTACCGTTTTTGTGTGGATTACAGGGACTTAAACAGAGTTACCGTGCCTAACAAGTTCTCTATTCCAGTTATTGATCAGTTATTGGATGAGTTACATGGTGCAGTGGTCTTCACTAAGTTGGATTTACGTTATGGTTATCATCAAATTCGTATGGAGGAGAAAGATATCCAAAAGACAGCTTTTAGGACTATTGTAGGTCATTATGATTTCTTGGTGATTCCATTTGGCTTGACTAATGCACCTGCAACCTTTCAGGCTTTGATGAATCGTTTATTCAAGCATTTTCTCAGGAAGTTTGTCTTGGTATTCTTTGATGATATCTTGATTTTCAATCAATCTATGGAGTTACATGTGCAGCATTTGAAGGCGGTTTTGAGTGTGTTTCATGAGCATACGTTGTTGGCAAACAAAAATAAGGGTGTGTTTGGGTTGAAGGAAGTGGAGTATTTAGGTCATATCATATCTGGTGCAAGGGTTTCTACTGAATCTACAAAGACTGCAGTGATGAAAGCTTGGCCTGTTCCTAAGACAATTAAGCAGCTTCGTGGGTTTTTGGGATTGACTGGTTACTATAGACGTTTTGTGAGGAATTATGGTGTGTTAGCTAAGCCTCTAAAGACGCTGTTGGAGAAGGATAAGTTTGAGTGGTCAGTTGAGGCAGAGGAGGCGTTTGAGAAGTTAAAGAATGCTATGGTGACTGTTTCTGTGTTAGCTTTGCCTGATTTTGACAAGAGGTTTATTGTGGAGTCAGATGCGTCTGGTTTTGGTCTCGGTGCAGTGTTAATGCAAGATAAAAATCCCATTGCATTTTTCAGTCATGCTTTAACAGATAGAGAACAGTTGAAGCCTGTGTATGAAAGAGAGTTGATGGCAGTTGTGATGGCTGTACTGAAGTGTAAGCATTACTTGTTAGGAAGGAAATTCATGTGCACACTGATTAGAGGAGTTTGAAGTATTTGCTTGAACAGAAAGAAGTAAATATGGAATATCAAAAGTGGCTTACTAAGCTGTTGGGCTATGATTTTGAGATTTTTTACAAAGTTGGGTGTGAGAATAAGGCTGCAGACGGTTTATTTCGCTGTATGGAGAAGGCTGCTGGATCTTCGAGTGTGTTGTTGTTGGCTTTGACAGTCCCTATGGCGTTACAGCTGCAAGATCTTTACCGGGAGATTGATGCGTATGAGGAGTTACAGAAGCTGCAGAAGCGTGTTGTTGATGGGTTTGGTACTGCACATTATCAAGTGTTGGATGGCAGAGTGTGGTATAAGAGGCGTTTAATGTTACCAAAGCAATCTCGGTTTATTCCGATTATATTGAGTGAGTTTCATGAAAGCAAGCTGGGTGACCATTCTGGGGTCTTAAAGACAATAAAGAGAATCCAACACCAGTTCTATTGGGAAGGTATGATGAAGACAGTACATAATTATGTCTCAGAATGCTCTGCTTGTCAAACTCATAAGTATTCAACCTTGTCTCCGGTGGGGTTGTTGCAACCTTTACCTGTTCCTGATAAGATTTGGGAGGATATATCGTTGGATATCATTGAAGGCTTACCAACATCTTAAGGACTTAATGTGATATTGGTAGTGGTGGAGATGCTTACTAAATATGGTCATTTTATTGGCTTAAAGCATCCATTATCTACTATGGATGTGGCGTTGAAGTTTGTTAATGAGGTGGTTCACTTACATGGGTATCCTCGGAGCATTGTGTCGGATAGGGACCGTATTTTTCTTAGTCCTTTCTGGACTGATACATTTAAACTTGTGGGGATGAAGTTGAAGTTTAGTACTGCTTTTCATCCTCAAACTGATAGTCAGACAGAGGTTTTGAATCGATGTTTGGAGACTTACTTGAGATGTTTTGCTTCGTCTCATCCACGGACTTGGCACAATTTTCTTGCGTGGGCTGAGCTGTGGTACAATACATCTTTTCATACGTCGTTGAAAGCTTCTCCATTTTCTGTGGTTTATGGTCGTGAACCACCTTCTTTGTTGCGTTTTGAGGAAGGTTCTATTAAAAACTTTGAGTGAAAGTCAATGAAGCCAACACCACTGGTGTTGAGAAACAAGAATAAAGCTATGTGCTCATCTGATGAAAACCACAATCCTCCTAAGGTAGTGCCATTAGTAGAAGTGCTTCAAAATCTGGGAAAAGAGTTTCCTGAAAAACTCAAAAGGTCTAGATATCTTAGAACACCTACAAATGTAAGATCCGAGATAGCAGATTCTGGTGAACCAGCTTCAAGAGAAGTGCCACTCAATGAGTTGTTTCAGAAAGTAGTGAAGAGGAAGAGTGAGCATTTGGAAGAGAAGCGAGCATGTATGGATTGTTATGATAACATTACCACAGCTGAGATGGTCATAGACAGAGAGGCCAATGAGGCAGGAAGGACTTTGGTGCTAAGCCCATCTGATGGAAACAACTTATCAAGTCCTCCTGTTGGTTTCGATGGAGAAACTGGCATTGCTGTATCACCACCAGAGACAATGCCAACGTGTGATGATGAGATGAATGTACATGGAAGCAATGCAGACGAGAGTACTATGATGGATGATGGCAGCACAGCACCAGACTGTTTGCTCAATGAAGCTGGTATCCTAGCAAGAGATGATGGAGAAGAAACGGAGCCAAGGGTTGAAGAGAATAATGAAGGCAGAAGTGAAGCAGGTGAGATAAACATTCCAATCCCATCTGATGGAAACAATTCTTCAGCTCCTCCTCTTGCCTCTGAAGGTGCTAGTGAGGATAAAGGAAGCCAAGCACATAAGAGTATGGGCCTGAGCTCAGCTGATAAGTCAAGCACTCACGTCAACGTAGGGGATCAAACTCAGGAGAATGGCCAGGGAAGTGAGGACACTGTGAAATCCCAGGAGTTAGAAGACATAGGAACGAGGGACGATGAAGGTGGTGTTGGTAATGACTCCATTAAACAGAGTTTTCTCAGTATAGAAGAGATGGCAAAGGATATTGAGGAGCGTATTATGAAAACACAGAAAAGAGTGAGATGGTTGAAAGCGATGAAAGTTATGAAACAGAGGAAAGTCACATCAGCTCGTTTAATATAGATAAAGAAAGAAGCAGAGACAAACGCAAGTTAAATATCAGAGATCAGTCTCACCTTTGTGGTGTTTATGCTTTACTATCTTTTGGTTTTAATGCTTAGTAACTATCTTTTGGGGACTATTTCATTTCTATCTTTTGAACAAAGCAATGAACTAAGAACAAAGAGATAGCAAATAGAGGAGCTAGTTTTGAATCTAGATACACGTATGATGAAGGTGGAAAAGACTTTTGGCAAAGACCAGAGAATGGAAAACCATAGAAAGAAACCATGGCAAAAATGGTGTGATTTCTTTTGGTGTTTTGCAGAATGTTTAGAACTTTCTTATTAGAGACAAATCATTATGACGTTTTGGTTTAAAATGAATTTGAAAGATCTCTCAGTTTGGTTAAAGAGACAGTTTTAGGATAACATGCCATCAACAAATAGGATCTTAGACTTAACCTCAGACAACATATATATGGAATACTCAGAGATCAACATAGTAAGTGAAACTCTAATTGGTTTCTCTGCATCCCTTACTTTTACCATGACTGTATAAAATGCATGTGTTTTGGATTCACAAAAAAAATGGTACTCCTTGAGGCTAAAGGTTGAACCTTTAAGACCCTACTTGATGCTTTAACCGAACCTATAATACTAAACCGGAAATCTCCAGACCGCAATTTAGTATTATTCGGATAAACTGTTCCCGTTTGAAAGGGATGATATTTTTGTGTTCATTTATCTGAGTTCCTTTCAAGTTACCATATAAGGAAACTGTGACATCGTTTGAGCTTTCACTGTAAGATTTCAAACATTTTTTTTTTGAACAAAAGATTTCAAAAATTAAACATCCAAAAAAACGGAGAAAGATGAAAACTTTAATCTTCTTATGGATTCAGGTGTAGAAAAAGAGAAAGAAGAAAACTTTCATCCTCTTATGGATCCAAGTGTAGAAAAAACGAGAGATCCTTGCTGCTTGATGAAAACCCATTTCTTAAAACCTTACGTAACCTCCATTAACGGTCCTGTAGCCGAGCTTCCTTTAATTAATGTTGTGGGTTTAAAGACTTTAACTTGCATTCCCTATTAGTTTCAGCTTGGGACTATTATTAATATCAATGTTTTAGTAGTATTCATCTTACGCTTCGTCAGTGAGAAAGCATAGACAAGCAAAGGCTTATGATTTAACTATCACAATATAGAAATATTCATGTCCTTTCAATACATCAGCAAAAAAAAAAGTCCGTGGTCTCAATATGGATTAAGTAGCAAGACAAGTATAGAAAAAGAACTAAACTATGATTTGTATGAAGCAGTGGTAGTAGTAGAAGAGATTTTAGGCTAAAGAAAGATATACATTCATCTAATTATTGTTCATACTCTTAACTTGCAAGAACCATCAACATACATCATGATCAGACTGAACTCTGTTTCTCACAGGCTTCCCAATCCGTAAACAACCAATAGGAGGAAGAGTAGGTTGGGGTTGAAGCTGAATCTGAATCCTCGAGGTAATGTGATTTACTTGTTAAACCCTAACTCTTGGATATGGCTTTCACATCGTAGCGGTTTATCTCCAAGCTTGTACCTGTTAGTTTATAACTGAGTTTGATATAGTTTACATAATTAAATTATAAAGTATGTGTAAACTCAACGGGTGCATTTGGAAGAGCTATGACTTGTTTATCAAGTAAGGGTAGTTAGTTATTTGTGAAAGTCACGTATCATAGTCTATATAAGGGCATCCACAATGGTGGATTCCATTAAGGAATCCTTAAGCATTATTTTACTTTTTTTTTTTAGTTGAATAGCTAAGAATTCTAAATAAAAATATCAGTCCAATGGTGGATTCCTAATGGAATCCTTAGGAAAACAAGAAATCAGAATTCCTTCACAAGTAACCCATTACAAGTGTAGACTGCAACAACCACATGAGATTCACATCCAAGGCATAACGACTAAATAAATAAGAGTTCCTTCACAAGTAACCCATTACAAGTGTAGACTGCAAAACTTCTTAACATAGGCAGGACATACTTAACAATTGCTTAACAACAGATATCTACGTCAAAGAAGCGAACGAAAAAATACCATGAGAAACTTCTTCAAATCCCTTCCTAAAGCAATGTTCCTTAAGAAACAAAGGCCTGGTTCAGCTCATGTCTCAGTGCAGATGCAATCAAAAGAAAATGTTCCTCCTTAACATGGATTTTAAGAATTTTAGGTGGAGACCTGAAAACAAAGAGGTCTCTAACATTATAACAGATTAAGCAGAAGTTTACTTTTTCATAAAGGCATGAGCATTAGACCATAAGAACATAGCAGCTAGGGAGAATATCAAAATGTGACACACAAGACTCAACAAATGATACTCAACCAATTCAAACAGTACCCAAATGGCAGTAGCTACACCAAGAACAGCAACTGAGAGCTTTTTATCCCTTCACAAGAACACATCAGCAGCTGCGCAGAAAAAGTTCAAAACCCAATTAAAAAAAAATAGTCAAAATCTTGTTTCAGACAACATGGATGGTTTTAAATCAAAGCATAAACAACGATCTCAAGCTCAACTAACCTAATAAAAACAAAGCTTTAGATACACAGACCAAACCTTATTAATCATTCACATGAAAAGCATATAACTTGTCTTATTTCAAAGCACATTGTTTCAGTTCCGACAAGGCAAATTTGTGTCTGAGATTATTGATACTAGATCTTGTATTACAGATCAAAGCATAGGAAATTAAAAAAAAAAAAAAGAGAGAGATTTAGAAAAAGAAGAACGTACGCAAGCAACCACCGAGAACCTTGTGAACAGGCTTCTCCCTTCCAAACAAACTGTAAATTTTCGCCTTCAAAGCCGACGGAGATTCTGGATTCTCGTGCTCGGAGTCCGAAGAAGATGATGAATCGTGATTGTGGATCTTCTCAGCTATCTTATCCATCAGAGATTCTTCCGTCTGTGTAGATTTTACAATTTCCGATCTAACCAACGAAGAAGAGAAAGGGAGCGTGCGGGAGAAAGAGAGGTGAGAGAATAGGCCACGTAGATAAGGACTGAATCCTTAGAGCAACATTATTGGTAGGACAAATTTTAGAGTTCTTAGGTTTTTTTATTATTATTCACAAGTTAAGGACAATGTTAAGAGACATTAGCAAAAATACAGATTATTGCTGGGACTTTATGGTGTCTCTTATACAAACAGAATTGCAAAAAAAGAAACAGAAGAACATGAAATATAAGAAGCCACTCAATAAGAATCTATTGACCCAGACATGACTATAAGCATTAACAAAATAACAAGCAAAAGAAAGCAGGTTTCCATCGAGTATCATTTGATATGCAACTAATGTACATACTTCGGTTTCTGCAAAGTTTCTCAAATAATATAAAGAGGAAAATGAAGTGTCTACTGCAAATCACAAAATCAGCTTAAGCTAAAGCGGTGATTTTCCTAATCAGAGACTAAGAGAAGCCAGAGGAGTTGAAAGACACTTACATTTGAACTTGGTGTTACACTGCTGGGATCATTCTCCAGCAAATCATCCTGCAACTCATCTAGTAGAAAAAAGAAACCAAATGTTAAATCCACTCTCTTGAACGAATATCAGACGAGTAGAAGCAGTGATAACTCATCTATCTAGACTCAATTGTATATATACACCCCCTCCCCCAAAAGATGAGACAATCGTTGTTCTCTTCAAAGAAATTCTCCAAACAAAGAGGCAGTACATACATTCACAACACTTCACACAAAGAGATAGTTACTAACACTAACTCAAACAATCAAATCCTTCGCCAACCATCAATCCTCGTGATTATCATTGGCTTCTAATTTCTAGCAACGAAACAAATTAAACAAAACCCTATATACTCCTAAACCAAGGAAACTTCATAGAAGTAAGTTAAACATAATCAATTAGAAATTTCCCAGGAAGAGAAAGCCTTATACGAATCTAGAAAACCTTCATCTTCTGGAGCTCTAAGAGCAGGAGCAGAGGCAGCACTGGAGAAGTAGGGAAGTAGTTTCGTACCGCCGCTGGAGATAACTCGATAAGCAGGATCGACGATTCTCGAGATCCACGGCCTACTCCGTTGTACTTGGTTCTGAGGCAGTCGAGAATACGACGTCGTCGTGGCACTAAGGACAACTGCGAAAACTTCTTAATTAAGGACGTTTTCTTCTAATTTCAGTCTTTTTTATTTAATTTTCGGCCCAATAATGCTTAGGACCAAACCTAAAGACGCCGATAATGTTGGTCTTATATTCCTTAATTAGGGATTGATCCTTATCTTTCTTCCTTTTTTTAATAATTTCCCACACGCTTTGCATATGTTTGCGTGCTAAGGATTCGGTTAAGTACTTTGTTCTCTTTATTTTGTCGTATGCTTCTGCTGCTTCTTCCTCCGTTCCTGAGAAAAATTAAATTATTATAAGTATGACAATCCATATTTAGGTGTGTATATTTTGCATAATCATTATTGGAATATGCATGTGTCGATATTGTCACAAGAAGATGCATGATAACAGAAGAAGCTGAGCTGTCTATATGATTGGTTCTGAAAATATTTGATGATGTGGACACTCTAACAAGATAATCTCAAGCCGTTTTATTCATGTAGATATCAGGAAAAGCTCTACATTATTAATTTTTTTAACCCTAAAGTTAGATGGAAGCCAATATGGGATCGTTGATGGGTTGTACCTCCTCTACGCCGTCGTTTCTCATCCATTTAAACCGCCAAAACGGTGCCATCTTCACCCGCCGATGCATGGGCCATCTCTGCTTAAGAACAGCTGTGTCCGCCTGTGGCTCCTCTTGTAAAAACTGTTTTATCATTTTTTTTTTTTGCACCAATTACAGTTATCCTCATAAATTTTCCCTTTTTTTTTTGCTTTATGTTCAGCTGATGCCGCGATGGTAATTGATAAAAAAAGGGTTGGAAAAGACATCATAACTGAGATCAGAACGGAAGTTTCAAGAATGAAGGAATCAATCAGCATGGTTCCTGGATTAGCAGTACTCCTTATTGGTGACACAATAATCTCCGAACCTTATTCGGTACCTTGTGAATTTGTTGGCATCAGATCATTTGTAGTTCGTCTACCTGAAGGTACGACAGAAGAGAAGGCGTTGGAATCTGTCTCAGGCTTCAACGATGATCCTTGTGTCCATGGCATCCTTGTTGAGTTTCGTCTACAATCGGTATTGCTCTCTCTCTCGACCATTCACATTAATTAGTAGAAAACTATAGTGATAATTAATGCTTATATGTATACCACAGCATATGGATGAGCACAAGATACTAAATGCGGTTAGTATAGAGAAAGACATCAACGGATTTAACCCATTGAATATTGGACTGCTTGCTATGCGTGGAAGAGAACCTTTTTTCCTGCCACGGACTCCAAAAGCATGCATTGAGCTATTACACCGAAACAACATTGAGATCAGAGGAAAGACAGCTGTTGTTATCGGAAGGAGTAACAGTTTTGGTATGCCAGTGGCTCTATTACTGCAGGTACTATTGTCCTTTTGAAATAATAGTTTGGATGGTTGGTCATTTTTTTGATGTATTTTGTGTATTGGATTTAGAGGGAGGATGCAACTGTTACCATTATCCATTCAAAAACCAAGAACCCTGAAGACATTACAAGACAAGCTGACATCATAATCTCAGCCGTTGGTAAACCGAACATGGTCAGAGGAAGCTGGATAAAACCAGGCGCAGTCATCATTGATGTCGGGATTAGTTTTGTTCCAGTAAGGATTTTTTTTTTTTTTTGTCGAAAATGCACTTATATTGATTAAGTCACCCATTATGATACATTCAATCATCTACTATGAACTGCATGCAGGACCAATATGCTCGTTATGGCTTTCGATGTGTCGGAGACGTTTTCTATGAGGAGGCTTGTGAAGTTGCATCAGCCATCACAACGGATGTTGGTGACCCAGGACTACTGAGAATAGCCATGTTTCTATCCAACACTTTGACATCAGCCAAGAGAATTCACAACTTCCTGTGACCTTAAATTTTTGCATAATTTCTTTCCAGTTTTGTTAAATTTTAGGTTTTTTTTTACGGTCGTCCCACATCTCAGATTGTCTTAGGTTCTAGTGTGTTTTATTGAATTATCTTGTAAACCTCCCAATTCCTTTTTTTTTTTTTATCAAAAATTGACTAACCGTTAGCTTTGTTCCCATCAAAGAATTTTGACAATGTTAACAAAGATATTTGTGATCCTTAGATTCAAAATAATATTTTTGGTAGAATGTTGTCAAGTTTGGAGGAAACCTTGGTAGTATAATAGTTTCTCTCATCTTTTTAACTTAGCTAATAGGATTATTTATACAAAGTATATAACTTGTCTAGCAAGTTCTTTACATAATAGAATAGGAAATCTAACTTATACATTAATGATAACTTTCCTAATAGTTACATCCAAATATATTCTAGGCGATCTCGTAATCCCCGAGATCTCCTAATAATCCGACATCGAATATATGTAAGGGACTTGAGTAATATATAAGGGACTTGGACCACTCCACTAATTGCCAATCTATACTATTAAAGCTGAAGTACAAAAAGTTAGTGTTTGGAAACATGAATAGGAATATTTAAAATTATGATGATTGGCAACAATGATAACCTACAAATCTAATGGGCTTGATTATTAAACTAAAGATTACTGCGGCCCAATGTACTATTATTATTGTTTTTGGGTTTTCTATCATGATATTACTTTATTTCTGAAAATTATTTATACATATATGTATTCATTTTAGTAATAGTTTATTTAGCCAAAAAAACTTTATAAACTATTGCTAAAATGTTTACGGGTCACAACATTTTACGACGCCCCTGTTACACAATACAGTGACAAAATACAATGTTTAAATAATATACTAATACTTAGTAAAATTGTAACCATTAAATTGTAATTTTGAAATGTATATATACCATAAAAATAAAGACTCGCCCAGTCGGGCGGGTTATGATCTAGTTGGTTTTAAGTTGGAAGTCCAAGAAACTTATCATAGAACGTAAAATATCTCCCATGATAGTATGTCCTCTTGTACTTCATGCAAGAGACTGTAATTGTGTGGTTTCAAGAATCAAGATTATATCCCTATCAAAAACATAAAAGGAAAGCTCAATCCAGTTGAGGTGAGAGGTTCTCTTTTTGTAGAGCATCTAACTCTCATAATTTCAGACACAGCTTCACGTATTTTAACTTAAAAGAGAATAACACAAGATACAAAGTAGGACTGGGCAAAACAATCTAAATCCAAAAAACCTAACCAAACCCATAACTAGGGGTACGTATTACGAAGGTGGAGAAGACTTTGGCAATAATTAGAAACCATAACTTTTTTTTTGTTTGACAACAGAAACCATAACTTAATTGGAGTTTATGTTTAACTAATTGTGTCTAAACCTTAAAATCTAAAAGAAGACAACAATGTCACATTTAGCTTAGCTTAATGATGTTATCTGTGTCTATTTAGTTTAGTATTTGAAATATCGAATCAAAATGTTGAATGAATCTTTTGTTTTTGTATTTATTGATAACACCTTTATAATTTGAAAAGGCACTACTTCACCTGCAACTTTCAGAATTTCAAAAAAACAAAAAAAAATAAAAATAGAAGAAATGGACACTGTCATGAGCTTGAGCATGTGTCCTTTCTTGCCTTGTGGCTTAGCTACTTGTTGTTTCCAACTCGATATTATCATAGAGATGAAGCTGTTTTCAAGTGGTGGAGGATTTCTCTAACTCCAACTGTTCTTTCTCACTTGTATGCAGAGCTAAGTCTCTTGAGAAACCACATTAAAGATGTCAACGAATCGACTATTCCTCTCAAGATTGATCTATGTGCATTGTTCAAGCTGGTTCAATTTTGGACATGGGAGAGGTTCAGAGAACTACAACCTCTTAACCCGATGCTAAAGGATGATGATAAGTTTTTTGGGCTTCTAACTTAAAATTAACTGGCGATTAGTGGATTGGCCCAAGTCCCTTATATATTACTCAAATCCCTTACATATTTCCGATGTGGGATCTTTATCCCAACACTCGAGATAATGGTGGGTTTAACCATTAATCTCGACAATCCATCATAACCCCTCCGGAAAATGTTCTTTTTCTAGCAATTTCGGCGGAACTGAGCCTTCTATGGACCATCAGCTAATGGGATGATCGGGCCACTGACCGGGCCAGATTAATGGATCTGGGTGTGGGCCGGCTCTGATACCATGATAAATTTTTTGGGCTTCCAACTTAAAACCAATTGACGATTAGTGGATAGGCCTAAGTCTCTTATATATTACTCAAATCCCTTACATATTTCCGATGTGGGATTTTTAATCCCAATAAGTGATCCAAGATTAGCTCTTTGGCATGACCTGTAAAAGAAAACAAGGAAGACCAGGAAAGCAAGAAATAGGCGATAGAGTCTTTAAAAGTCGACAATGTACAGCTTTGAATGGCGTCATTACACAAGTGGAAAACTAGCAATTTCCTCAGTTTTATCCTGAGAAAGCAATGTTGGTTCCAGTTGACAGCACCAACATTGATGATGAACTTATCAGCTATGCTCGTTGCATCAGAGTATCTGAGCTTGTTGGCATTGATTGTGTGGAGCATTATTTTCCTAATAGGGTGGCTGTACAGTTTGGGATGGTTCAGAAGTTTACTTGTCCTGTTAACAAGGACCCTCTCTCTCTCAAGAGGAAGCCTGGAAAACTACTACAAGCCTATTATACATTCCTTCCCGTTCAACACCTCAAGCAACTCCAAGGATCAGCAAATTTCTAGAATTACAGTGGTCTTCAGTGGAGAGAGGAAGATGATGGTACTAGTTTTATTCATTCAGGTTCTGAGATGAGTGGAACAAGCAAGGATGTAATGAATATGGATGAGGAATCAATGAACAAGAAATGAGATCGTGAAGATTATGAGAGTAATATGACATGTGTTCAGACAGAGGTTACTTCCATCAGACAATGATGATGAAGAAGTTGATAGACTCACCAATGCTCAATGGCTAAAAAGAAGATTTAATAGGAAGTATATTTATGTGAAGAGATAGGAAGGAGATGCTTTTGAAACTTTTGGTCACCATCTCCTAGGTTTGGTTTTGATTTCCTTGCATCAGTTTCTTTGGTCAGTAAAATCCATCCAGGTTTGATTTGGCAGAAGCACAATCCATATGCTTCATTTGTATAATATGTCACTATTATCAATACTATTAATTTAGAATTACTCCTATTTTTTATCCCTATAACTATTTAGTATGTTACTTTTTCTGTCACTGGACCTACAATTTTAAGAAACTAACTATTTCATAACTGATTCTCTATGCTTTTCATATTTTTTAACCACTATGTTTCCAAAATAATCGAGACCACGTTCCTTATATATCTAAAACCTTTCAACAAAGTATATATTATATAAAATTTCATATTTGATCAAAAAAAAAAATATATATATATATAAAATTTCATATAAATAGATGGGATTTGCAGTTTACGGTCCTTTATAAAAAAAAAAATCAAAAAGTATAATTATATAAAATTCATATAAGTAGATGGGCTTTACAGTTTACGGCCCTTTATAAAAAAAATCAAATTGTTTTATTCCTAACTAACCATGCACACGTTATTGCTTAACATTTAGGAAGTGGGTCTAGTACGAATCATGATGATGAATTTTGAAAAACCTAATATTAGATTAATGAGTTTGAATTATTAATAGTACAGATAACATGTATGTCAAAAAATAGTAAAATACTTTATGATTATAAAGAAGAACATAAATATACTTATAAAGAAATATATAAAAATTAAAAATTTCAAAGAAAATCAAACAAAAAATATAGCTACCCTTTCAAATATAATTATAAAGAAAAACATAAACATAAAAATTAGAATTTTTAAAGAAAATCAAACAACAATATACCCGCCAGAAAATCACTCATTTGTAGTACTACTATTCTTTTGCAAGCTCACAAGAGACAAAACACATTTATAGATGTTTTTTTTTCAGAAGATAAATATTTATTGATGATGAGACCTTTTATTAATTACTTTTTTTTATTAATAAATTACTTTCAGAAGATAAATATTTATTGATGATGATGAGAGTCTAGGGATGTTTAAACGGGCTACCCGGGCCCGTTTAAGCCCTGCCCGTTTAAAGCCCGGCCCGTTCAGAGCCCGTTGAAGATCTGCCCATTTAAAGCCCTGCCCGTTTAAGCCCGTTTAATTGTAGCCCGTTTACAACTGTGGTGCCCGTTTAGGCCCGTGAACTCTTTTTTTTTTTTTCTAATTGCAATCTAATTAAGGTTTAATGACGTTAAATCTTGTTTTTTTTGTAATGATTCTATCTATAATTTCTCTTTTTTTATTGTTATTGTTTCTTTTTTTCTAAATGCAGTTTTAATTATTTTAAGGTATCATATTATGCAAACTTCTTAAAAACTTATTTTTTAAATGCAGTTTTAATTATTTAAAATGCTCAAAAACATGTAATAAACCTGATTTATCCAATACATGTTTAAAATCTGCAAATACATAAAATCTTTAAAATCTGCAAATACATAAAATCTTAAACAACAAACCATAGAGAATCTTGAAATACACAAGTGTCTGAAATTAAAAAAAACAAACAGCAACCCATTTAGAAACAAGACATGAACCACTTCATCCTCTTTCTTTAGTCTCAAACCAACCACTACTCCATTTACGTGGAGCTTTGATCTGCAAAGACAAGAAAAGGTTTTAACACAAAACTATTATATCTTTCATATTCCAATAAAATAACAAACGAGTACTGAGCCTGAAACGACAAAACAGTAACGATCAAACGTTTTCTTGTTTGATAGTGTGTACACTAGAGATTACAAAGACAAGGCCACACACACAAACAAATGGTTAAGGTTACCTTTTCACTCATGCTCATTTTCATTGCATGTTTGATTCTCCTGACCTTGAACTTTCTGCTCGTGAATTACTTGTTGTTTTTCCAACATCTCTAATGCCAGTGTCATCACTATCTTCAATGGTACCTATAATTTAAAAATGCAAGTTAGTCAAAGAATCATCATTTAACTATAAAACTTTTCTTGCAATTTTTCTTAAATTACCTTGAAATTCTGCATATCCTCGAAGCCAATTGCGTGCACAAAGCAAAGCTTGAAC